ATCCAATCAGTAGCCATAGAACTTTTTTTAACCATACGATATTTAACTAATATTCTAGCATATAAGGAGGGAGAGGAGGTTATACGAATGGGGTAACAAAATTGGTAAAAAAATACTATTAAAGATTGCAGGCTGTAAAAAGTAATTGATGACCAAAGGTGTTAGTATATATATATATATATATATATATATATATATATATATATATATATATATATATATATATATATGTGTGTGTGTGTGTGTGTGTTTGTGTGTGTGTGTGTGTGTGGGTGTTTTTTGAACAATAAAAATATTAAATATATTAAATTTTCAGACACACTAAATGGGTATTCTTATTTGAGTAGATGCTCTGTTTTTATTTATTTATTTACATCTACCGGTGTGAATATTTGAGAAATCTTGTTAGAAAAATATGCACCCTTTGGTAGGATTCAAGCATGCGACCTCTAGGGGAAAGCGGCATTAGATCTGACGTGTTTTACATCAACTCAGCCATGCAGCACTACCTGTACAAGCAAGTCCGAATAGTGCTTTTGAACACACATCTTCTTAATTGCAAAATCGGCCCTTTTGATAAATCTGTCAACACACCATAATTCTTGTCATTAAAAATCTTTCAAAGAATAAAATATACTTTTCTAAAACTTTATTTGAGAAAGATTAACCGGTTTCCAGTTTAAATAATCTAAATTAAAACTAATATTATTTACATTTAATTTAAAACATCACGGAAGAGCATTTTTAATCAAGTTTTATGGGGGGTTATATGATAAATACAATGTATATTTTAGCTTCTATTATATGCTTTCATTAGAAATATTTACAATAATTTATTTGGTCATGTGATATTCTTTTATCAAACTTGAAAGACAAATGTGTAATTACTGATTGTTGCATTTTCTTTAATTTCATATATATTGAAACAGCGGATAAGGAGGGCTATGCATGACAGATAAACCTCAGAAGGTGCTACTCGAAATGCAATTGCATAACTGGATTCTGCACGTCTCATTCCATATGTGCTGCAGAGGAAGGTCATGAAATCACGTGTGTAGGTCACTTCCTGGCAAGTTGAGGCCCAGCGTAAACAAATTCACGACATCGGCACATTATTCTCCTCTGATATTGTTTCACTTCAAACCAACTCTTGCGAAGCCAAACGACGATAGGGAATGGATGACTGGAGCGGATTTTGGTGAAACTGGAAGCTTCTGATCCCGAACTTCGATCAGCAAAGAAGAAATTAAATTCTTGGATACGGGATAAAAAAGACGATGATATTTTACCATATTTATCTATCTGCGAATTTGAGTTATCTATCTATCTATCTATCTATCTATCTATCTATCTATCTATCTATCTATCTATTCATATCTTTCATGTCTTTCTCAGTCTTTTCATATCTATGTAAGTTTTTAAGATGTATCTCAGTATATTCATATCTCCTTTCATCTATCTATCTATCTATCTATCTATCTATCTATCTATCTATCTATCTATCTATCTCAGTATGGTCATATCATCTATCTATCTATCTATCTATCTATCTATCTATCTATCTATCCATCTATCTCAGCATGGTCATATCTATCTATATATCTATCTATCTATCTATCATCTATCTGGTATCTATCTCAGTCTGTTCATATCTATCTATATATCTATCTATCTATCTATCTATCTATCTATCTATCTATCTATCTATCTATCTAACAGTGTATTAATTTCTGTCTCAGTCTTTTCATATCTATCTATCTATCTATCTATCTATCTATCTCAGTCTGTTCATATCTATCTATCTATCTATCTATCTATCTATCTATCTATCTGTCTGTCTATCTATCTATCTATCTATCTGTCTATCTGTCTATCATTCTATCTGCTTCCAATCTATTCATATGTATGTGAGTCTTTCATATATATGTATCTTAAGCTATTCATATCTATAGGAGTCTTTTTATATATACCTATTTTAGTCTTTTCCTCTTTATCTATCTGCATTATGTTGTTTCTATCTATCTATCTATCTATCTATCTATCTATCTATCTATCTATCTATCTCATTTTGTTGATATATATTTTCTATATTCACCTCTAACAATTGTAGTTTTCTTTTTTCTCAACAGAAATGGCTCCACGTTAACTGCCCCTATCCGTCGCTTCTCCACCACAAAAATAACATCTCTGCTCAATGTTATAACAATGGGCTGCCATAAACAAACCCTTTCATTGCTTTGCATATTATTATGCGCGCCTAATTGACGGAGACGACAATTGTCAAAGGGAACACGCCAGAGCAGTGTGTTTTCAATTCGTGTGCGCAAGATTTTCGGGGACTGCCATGTTTTTCAGTATTATCAGCTGAGCCAATATTTTGCCGTAATTCTTGATTGGCTCGGCTGACAGCGAAATGTTTGTTGTCAGAAAAGAAAAATAATGTAAAAAAGCACAAATCCCTAGACGTTCCAAAGAAAAACAAAAAGGAAAAGGGAGAGCAAACCCCAATCTGGTTTCACATTGATTTTCTTTCTTTATGTTCTACGACTTTAAAAAAAAAAGAACAAAACAAAACAAAAAAACAAGTATCTAGATTCCTTGCTGCGGAGCTATGCTTATTAAGCATGTCTCGCAGATTTCCGAAGAAATGTTATATTCCAATACGATAGCCGTTGTTTTTTTTTGTTTTGTTTTGCTTTTTTTAAAAAAAAACATCTTTTCAAACATCTGCATCGTTTAAACAATTGACATTCTCTTCTGGATGGACACAAAAGTAATATTTTGATACGACAGTTACACTCCCCCCCCCACAGAAATACAGGGTTGGGAGTTCGAATATTTTTCAGCGATTAAACACTTGGTCTGTTCGTGCTCAACACAGAAATGTAATATTTCAACACGATAACCGTTTGAATTAAAATAAAATGGTTTTCGTACATCGGCTTCCATTTAAAGTTTTGCCATTCACTTCTAAATCGACACAGAACAGTTATTACCCGCAAAAACGGATTTCGAACATGCGTCAGCGATAAACAGTTCATCTGTTTGTGTTCGACGCAGAAATATAAAATTTCAGCACGATAGCTGTGAAGCGTTTTGACAGAAAGTGTGACACTGAGATCCGTAGATGTATTGGGATGGCCAAGAACGCATTTCAAAAGCTGGGCAGAGTATTGCGAGACAGGAGGATTTCTTTAGTAACAAAGAAAAGAATACTGAGCTGTTACGTGACATTTATCCTTCTTTAAACTCTTATAGGAAAAGTACTGCTAGTTTGTAACAACCAAGTTCATTTCTATGGAATATACATATACAAACTAATGGCGTAGCCATGGGATCTCCTCTAGGACCGACTTTCTCTATTTATTAGATGGCACGAAATATATATATATATTTTAACAAAACAGACAAATTCGGCAGCGAATGTTTAACGATTTCCTTAAAGAGACTCGAGGCGACGGAGATATGGTTCTACAGAATGATGCTACTAGGTTGGCATCTCACCCCCACCCTTTCACTGTCGAAACGGCTTGCATTTCCCCTCAGTAGAACTCCCTTCCTTTTACTTGTTTCCGTGACAGTTATAGTCTCAGATATTCAAATGTAATGCCAATCGACATCTTCTGACGCCATGGTCTAATTCCCCGTCTTTCTCTTTATCCTATCCCCAATCACGTCTCTTTTACTCTCGCTTCCACTCTCTGTAACTCCTTGCGTGCTAGTGGCACTCCCGCCTTGCTTGGGGTGAAATGCTTAAAAAAAAAAAAAAAAAAAAAAATGGCGTTTGAGTTTGCATTTAAATTTTTGAAGATTGTAGGCGGCAGCGAAGCAAGAAACTGGGAAATTTTCCACAGGCGACAAATGCGAGAAAAGAAACTATAAAAATGGAAATGGCGGTTGCATCTAGTTACCCTACACGCAAGCCACCAATCTGGCATGCCCTAGCGTTTACTGTTGGTGGCCTGCGTGTTCGCCTCAGCGTGTTCGCCTCAGCGTGTTCGCCTCAGCGTGTTCTGGCTGATCGCTAGGGGCCCACCAGTAGGTGCCACCAGAGGACCGCTAGCGTTACCATCGGCAACCTGTCAGCAGACGACTAGTGGCTTGCGTGTAAGGTAGTTCAACAGGAAAACGGTGAGACCTAGTTGTCAATCTAACGGTGAGATAGAGTTGAACGCTTAAGTTCATAAAGTCGGGACACCAAGGAAAAGGAGCAGTTGGCATGAAAATATTTATAGAAAAGACGGAGGGAAGCTACGTCATGTCGGTGAAAAAAAGACTGAAGTCAGGATCGATTACATTACAAATCCTTTTTTGGATTTTCTCAAGAATCTTGAGATGTATAGCAAAGGCACAAGACCAGATATGGCAACAGTATTCAATGCACGGACAAATGTTACATTTGTAAATATGCAAGATGGATCCTGCGATATAGTGTATTAGTAAAAAGAGACTCACAGACAACAAAACACGATCGTACTAAGTCGAATATATTATTATAAAACTAGAATTAATCGATTGTTAACTGAATATACTTAATTTCCTCCCTTTTTATTCCATTTTTTCCTGTTTAATTCTCCTTTTCCGTTATTCCTGTCTTCAAATTGTTTTTTTTTATTTTCGTAAAGAACAGCGCATGCGTGGTGATCAGTTTCCTTCTTAATTTCTTTCTTTCTTTTTTCTCTTCAGACTTTCTTTGCGTGACTATTTGTTTTCTTTATCTCTCCTAAGCCAATCAAAATCACCTCCCTTCGAATACTGACTTACAATAACCCAGCGTCTAATAAGAAACTCCGTTGAGGAAATTTCAATTCCTTAGCGGTTGTTGCTGCCGCCACTTCTTTCTTTCTCGTCCTGCCGTCAACGTATCAAGCTTGCTAATTTCCTAACCTCTTCCCTTCGTCCTTTGCAATCGACACTAAATCCCGAAGTGATCATCGTATCTGATTTCCATCGCTTCACGTTCTTCGTCACGGCCGACGTTCCAATCAACGCGTTTCGCATTACCAGTTCTTGTTCGTTTTCTCGTTCCATCGCGCCACAACCGAGGAGAGACTCATCACAGAAAGAAAGGAAAAGATAAGGGACGTAGATAGAAATGAATGGAAGAAGAGTAGAAAAAGAAAGAAAGAAAGAAAAGGTAAGAGAAAGAGGTGAAAGAAGAGTAGAAAAGAAAGAAAGAAAGAAAGAAAGGGAAATGAAATAGCTGAATGAAGAGTAGAAAAGAAAGAAAATGAAAGAGAAATAGCTAAAAGTAGTGTAGAAAAGAAAGAAAGAAAGAAAGAAAGAAAAAGAGAAATAGCTGAATGAAGAGTAGAAAAGAAAGAAAGGGAAAGAGAAATGGCTAAAAGAAGAGTAGAAAAGAAATAAAGAAAGAAAGAAAAAAGAGAAATAGTTGAATGAAGAGTAGAAAGGAAAGAAAGAAAGAAAAAAGAAAGTAAGTTAAAGAGAAATAGCTGAAAGAAGAGTAGAAAAGAAAGAAAGAAAGAAAGAAAAGAGAAATAGCTGAATGAAGAGTAGAAAGAAAGAAAGAAAGAAAGTAAGGTAAAGAGAAATAGCTGAAAGAAGAGTAGAAAAGAAAGAAAGAAAGAAAGAAAGAAAGTAAGGTAAAGAGAAATAGCTGAAAGAAGAGTAGAAAAGAAAGAAAGAAAGAAAGAAAGTAAGGTAAAGAGAAATAGCTGAAAGAAGAGTAGAAAAGAAAGAAAGAAAGAAAGAAAGTAAGGTAAAGAGAAATAGCTGAAAGAAGAGTAGAAAAGAAAGAAAGAAAGAAAGAAAAGAGAAATAGCTGAATGAAGAGTAGAAAAGAAAGAAAGAAAGAAAGAAAGAAAGTAAGGTAAAGAGAAATAGCTGAATGAAGAGTAGAAAGGAAAGAAAGAAAGAAAAAAGAAAGTAAGAAAGTGAAAACGAAATAGTTTAAAGAATAGCAGAAAAAAGAAAGAGGGTGAGAGGAGTAGTTGAAAGAAAATTACAACATGAAATAAGAAAGAAAGAACTGGGAAGGGAAATAGTTGAAGGAAGAGTACAACAAAAAAATCATGAAGAAAGTGAGAAAAGGGAAAGAAAGAAATTAAGAGGGAAAAAGAAGAGAAAAGAAAGAATGAAAAAGGGAATGAGAAATAACCAAAAGAAGTATAAAAAAAAAAGAAAGAATGAAAGAAAGAAAGAAAAAAGGAAAAAAATAATAAAAATACCGAGAGGTATATTTGAAAGAACATTAGAACAGGCAATTATGAAGAAAGAAAGAAAGAAAGAAAGAAAGAAAGAAAGAAAGAAAGAAAGAAAGAAAGGGGAAGAGAAATAACTATAAGAAAAATAGAACGAGAAATAAGGAAGAACGAGCGAAAAGGGAAAGAAAGAAATGTTGAAAGAAGAAAAGTAGAAAACGAAAGAAAGAAGGAAGGGGAGGAGAAATAGCCGAAAGAGGAGTAAAGAAAGAAAGAAAGAAAGAAAGAAAGAAAGAAAGAAAGAAAGAAAGATATAGCTGAAAGAAGAGTAGTACAGAAAATAATAAAGAAAGAAAGAAAAAGGAAAGAAAGACATGTAGAGGGAAATAACTGAACGGAAGAAAGAAAGAAAGAAAGAGAGACAAAGAAAGGACAGAATATTTATATATGTAAATAAAAAAGCAAGAACAACGAAAAGAAAATGTTGACGAAAATTGATTGAACTGTTAAATGATTGAAATATAAAAGAAAGTAAAAGGAAAGATTAAAGAGAGAAATAGAAGAAACGATAAAGAAAGAAGAATTCAAATAACGATAAAGAAAAGCAATGAAAAATAAGAAGAAAAGTGGAAAGAAAAAAATTCAAGGCAAAAGAGATAATGCAAAGAATCAATGAAAGGAATTGTAAAATAAAAGGAAGAAAAATGGTTGAAAAAATTAAAAATAATATAAAAATAATATAAACAACACTTGAAAGAAAGAATGAAAAAGAAAGAAAACATTATAGGGAAGAAGAAAAAACAAGAATGAAGAAAAAAAATGGTGGAATTTTTCTCTGAACATTCTTAAGTAAAATAAAAGGTAACAAGGAAGGACACAAAAGGATTTAGGAAAAGCGGAAGTGAGTATGAAAAATTTTGCATAAAAGAAAGAAAAATAAAAAAAAAAAATAGAAAAATAAGAAAGAATAAAAGCAAAAATCAAAAAGAACATGAGTGAAGCATCGAATTGAATAAAGAAACGATAAGAAAATTGAAAAAATATAATATATAAAAAAATAAATGAAAGTAGGCAAGGGAAAAAGGTTGAAAAAAAGAAGAAAATTTAAAATAAAAAATATTTATAGAATGAGAGAAAGGAATAAAATTCTGAGAAAAAAAAACTGAAAAGAGAGAAATAAAGATTATAAAGAAAGAGGGAATAAGAAAAAGCAACGAAAAATGCCGTTAAAAATGAAACGAAATAAAAAGTTTTTAAAAAAGAGAGAATGAAAGAAAACGTTGAAAAAATAAGAATAAAATCTATAAAGAAAATTGAAATGAATGAAATAGAAAATTTTTTAAAGAAAGAATAAAATCCAGAAAAGAAGACCGGAAAGAAAAACTTCCACTATATAAAAAGGATTATAATGGAAGAAAATATGAAAGAAAGTAATGGAAAACGTCGATATAAAATGAAATGAAAGAAATGTTTTTTATAAAGAAAGTGAGAATAAAAGAAAGCAATAATAAGAAAAAGAAAAAAAAATGTCTGAAGGAAAACCTGAGAATTAATGTGAGAAAAAAAAATGTAGGAAGAATTAAATTTAAATGTGGATTTATGGAAGAAGACAAAAGCGACATTGAGAAATATAAAAGAAAGAAAAACAGTGAAAAACAATCCGTTTTTGGTTGGCGCGAAAAAGGAAAAAAAAAAGAAAAAGAAAAAGCATTTATTCTTTCTTTTATCACTCTAAGATTTATTCGAAAGCAATAACACCCTTGCCACCCAAACCTCCGGGCAATAATAGGTACATAATTAGACAATTAGCTTATCCAATCACAGTTTCATCATGGCTCGTCCAGCACGCAAATATGGCGGACGATGGTTTTAGCGTCAACAGAATCAGAAGCAAGATACCAGAAAGAGAAAAGCAAAAAAAAAAAAAATGTTGGGGATGTCGTGGTCAGGCGTGTATTCCAACTCACCACTGTTCATGTCTCGTGTCGCCACTGCCAGGTTCTCCCCGCCACCCTCATCCGCCTGATCGCTGTCGCTTTTTCGCATTTTGTGTTCGTGACTCGTCCTTGTTCGTCCTCAGGACTAGATTAAGGCTTGATAGCTTGTTTGCAACGCAAGCAGCGATTTAATAAGACTTTGTCAGATTGCAATGAAGACCACCCTCCCCAACGTTCAGGAAGGAGAGCATCGATTACGATTGACCAGTTTTCTATTTCTTTTTTCTTTTCGTTTGGTTGGCGGGTGATTTTTAGTTTTAGTTTTGCTTTCTTTTTTCTCACGTTCTTCTCGATTTTTTTTTCTTCTCAGTGATATTTAATGAGCTTGTTCTTTTTTATTTCCTATACTCTATCAGGGTAAAGAAGAAGATTGTATTACGCCAATGTTTTAAGTGGGGAAGGTTTAACTGTCTTTTAAATCAGTATTTAAAATAATCTGTTTTTCTAGCTAGACTCGAACACCCACTTCTGGTGCTAGCGGAAAATGCACAAATAATTCTGTCAGAGAGAATCCCGGAAATGGTTATTAATAATCATTAACATTAATTGACTTTGACACAAAAGCCATACTTGTAGTTCATCCCGTGAATATCGAACTCTGTAGAATTTAGTCATCTTTTCTTTTTCTTTTTTTTTTTTTAATTTTTTTTTAACTATGTTTCGGTCATTTCAGTTTAATGCTTTTTTTCTTTTTTAAATTGTTCTGTCATTGTTTTTTTTTTCCCTTGGGATTATAATTGTTTCTTTCTATTTCTATTTTTTTTCTATTTTAACATTTTCTTTCTTATTTCTTTCCTTGGATTTTTAATGGTTTCTTTCTCTTTCAAAATTGTGTTTTTCTTCCTTTTTTCTTTCTTTGAATTATAATGCTTTCTATCATTTCTAAATGTTTCTTTCTTCCTCTGCATTAAAATGCTTTCTTTCTCTTTTAAAATTCTGTTTTTTCTTCCTTTTTTCTTTCTTTGGCTCTTAATGTTTTCTATCGTTTCTAAATGTCTTTCGCTGCGTTAAAATGCTTTCTACTTATTTTAGAATTGACTTTATTTTTCTTTATTTGGAATATAATGCTTTCTTTTTATTTTAAAATTTCTTTCTTTATTTATGGCTTGCTTGCAATTACCAGTTTGTTCTGTCGATTTTGCAGTGACAATGGTTATATCTCTTTTTTATTCTAAAGTTCACTTTTCTTTTTGCTTTTTTTCTATTTTGAAATTTTCTTTTTTCTGTTTTAATTTTCTTTCTTTTTAGACTTTATTTTTATTTCAGTTTTTTTCTTTAATTATTTTAATATGAAGAAAAGTTCACGAGACGAGATTATAAAACTAGTAAAAAATAATCTGTAACGTTCTACTCTGGTTGAAAGAAGTTTTCATGTGTACGAGTTCAAGTCTCAACAGATATATATATATATCTATCATTTGCAATATGTTTTGTTTAACATGTAAAAATGATCTGTAAATTAAGATAAAAAGAAAAAAAATGGAAGACAAATTTGGGAATATCATTGTTCTATATTTAATACAGGAAAATTCAATGGTAAAGTGGATTTTTTTTTTTTGTGTGACGCATTTCATCCATTAGGACTTCATCGGTCGAAAGTGATGTTCATGGTGGTTCGTCTACACATGCACAGAAAGGAGACGAGACGCTGAAATGTTTAATATTTAAATTTAATTTATTTTTTAAATATGTGTCTGGGTATATAGTATTCATTTTTTGCATTGCTTATATTTTTATCACTTTTGCTACTAAGTATCCGACATTGTAATAACAGATCTGCCAAGAAAGATAAAATATTGTAAGAATCTGAACGTAGATTTACTGTAGATGATCTAGCAAATAAAACATTTTCTATACACTTTTGTCGTAGTAAATTGCTTTCTCCTTTAATTAAAGTAGTATTTTCTAAATAATGGTTAGACTCATTTTAATGCATTTAGTTTCGTTTTGTAGAATATCCTATTTGTTTTCATATAATCTTTTATTTAAATTCCTAGGGTTTTCTCACGAAAAGTTTTTTTTTGCTCTCCACTTTGTCATTGATTTTCCTAACATTGTTCGCGTACGTAAAACTGACATATCTTTTCCCCATATTTAAGACAGTATTATTGGTTAAAAGTCTGTTCAAAACTGAATCAAGGGCTTTGAGCAGTCATAAAAAGTGGACATTAATTCTGAAATATCTCTTGGAAGTCTGTAGCATTTACATCGGTCATGGCCAAACTGAACGGTAGGCCAAATTTCAAGACGAAAATAACATTTATTAAACATTTTTGTTTCACTGTGTCGTGTGAGACAATTTTTCTCACCAGAATCTATCTGACATATTTCTATCATTCGACCTTGCTTTGAATATTGCTCGTAGGAATAACATTATATAAGGATTTATTAGATTTAACTTTTAAATTTATTTTCTAAATATGTGTTTGGTTATATAGTATCGCCGATTTCATTTAGTCTCTTTTTGATTTTGTTTGTATTTTATCACTTTTGTTAGTAAGTATCCAACATTGTGATAATGGAAGAACTCCGAAGAAAGGCGAAATTCTGTAAGAAACTGGACGTAAATTTACTGTGGGTGATCTGGTGGTTAAAGCACTTTCTATACACCTTTGTATTAGTAAATTACTTTCTCCTTTAATTAAAGTAGTACATACAGACATTGGTAGGCGTTCTGCCTCAGGTAAAAATTCATTATTTCAAATGCTTATTTTTAAAAAAAGCATCTCTTTCCTATTTGAAAACTGGCGTTGTAAAATCTTTATATTAGCACTTGTGTTGCACTAAGACTGACTGACTGACTGATTCGTTTTTTAAGGCTTATCAACCCTTTGTAGGTTATTTAAAGCCAGAAAAGATTTTTAGATTGTAAGAATTTGTTTTGGAGATAATAATGATTTAGTGACAGGGGTTTTACTAATTAACCCGTAAGTGAATATAAGAAACACGACTGGATTTAGAACTCAGCTCTCCAACTTCCAATTTCTGCACATCCGAAATGACAGCACCTGGTATTCCCAAGCGGTTACCCATCTAGGTATTAACTAGGCTTGATGTTGCTTAACTTCGGTGATTTTCCGGGAACCGGTATTTCATCGTGATATGAACGAAAGCCTGTCACACTGAGACAAACCGAGGAAGTATTTAGAAATAGACTAAGAAAGAAAAAGAAAAGTTTCAGGGCCGAATATTTCAGATTATGACAAAATCTAAGAAAGAAATAGAGAAAAATGAAAGAGAGCAAAAGAAAGAAAGAGCTAGAATTATTTGCTGAGGATAAAACGGAAAGATGGCGGCCGTAAAGAATATTGCAATCAGTGACGGATGCTAAACGACTCCTCAAATAATTAAAGCCATGTCAGAATGCCAGTTATCTCCCTTACCTACTTCCGGTCTGAACGCTATTCTCAAATTTCCTTTAAATAAACATGGCCGGGTGTGCACATCGACTCATAGTACTTGCTCAGCACGTGATGTTTAGGTTGTACAAAAACGTCTTGTGTTTATATGCGTATATCTTTATTTAGAAGGTTCCATAATAGTTGTAAATATGTTTGTGTTCTTTTATATAATTCCGTATTTTTTGTAGATACCGTTACCAAGAGTACATGTGAATAAATCGCTTAAATTATTTTCAGTGTTTTAATGGAAATAGCAATACAAATTTAAAATAATGTATGTCTATGTTTTATAGATTATGAAAAAGAAACACTATACACTATAATATACTATATAGAAAGTAACTAAGAAGAACTATTTGAACTGTTATGTAAGCTTGATATATTTGGGTAGGGTGTCGGAATAATCCAGAACTTATACTGGGTTCAAAGCGCCTGCATACGGATAGAAAAAAAATACACAAAGATTAAAAAAAAAAAATGTGTAAGACAAGGATATTACTTCTCGCCGGATTAATTTACAGTGAGGCGATCCAGAGAAAATTAGAAGTACTATTAGAATTTATTATTAGCGGACACAATCGTAACAGCATAAGATATTCAGATAACATAGTGTTGATAGCAGATGCAGAAAGGAAACTAAGAAGTAGCAAACAATAGTAAGAGAAAAAAGGCAGAAAAGAATAAAAAAGAAGGGAGTAAAAATAGTAAGAAGAAAGGATTAACTATCAATTGTAAGAAAACATAATATATGATTATCAGCAAGAGAAACAGACCAACATGCGAATTATACATCGGAGATGCTAAAATCTTGCAAGTATAAAATTTTAGATATCTAGGAAGTGTTTTAACAGAGGATGCAACGTGGGACACCGAAATCCGAAGATGCGTTGGGATAGCGAAAGGTGTCTTATGAAAGCTAAGCAAAGAAAGAATTAAGAAACAAAAAAGAATTGTTATGTAATATCGGTCCTCCTATTTGACAGTGAATGCTGAACAATCTCATTATAGATTAAGAAAAAACACGAGACAACAGAAATCTGGTTCTACAGAAGGATGTTGAGAATACCATGGACTGGACATTGTTGTGAAAATGGAAACAAAATGACCCTTATTCTAAACATCAGAAGCAGAAAATATTCTACAGAAATATGCTGAGAATACCATGTACTGAATATCTGAGCAACGAGAAAATTTTTTGAGAAAATGGTAACAACGGACAATTAAACTTGGAATCAGAAACAGACAATTGAAATTTCTAGGGCGTATAATGAGGAATGAGGGCTTAGAGAATTTGACACTCATAAGTCATATTGAAGGCAAGAGTGATAAAGGAAAGCAAGTGCATAACTTACCTAACAACCTTGTGTAAATAGTTGGCAAAACAGGGATTAGGATATATAGGGAAAGAACCGAAGAAAATCTGAAATAGGTACTATTAAACATAATACATTTAGGCAGAAAACCTTGATTTAAACAGGTTCTATTAAATAGAACTGACTGTTTAACGTTTTGCTGAGTTTCTCATTGTGCTAAATAAATCGTTTTATTACGCCTGGAAACTTGAATAGTAACTTGCCTAAATTGTATGCAATATTGCGATTACTTTGAAGTTGAAAAAGTTTTATCAGAATCCCTGTTAAATTTACTATTGATATCATTATAAAAACTATAACTAGCCCACTCTCCTTGCTCTGAAAATAAAATTTAACAATTATAGGAAAATTACTGCTAGTTTGTAACAACCAAGTTCATTTCTATGGAATATACATATACAAACTAATGGCGTAGCAATGGGATCTCCTCTAGGACCGACTTTCTCTATTTATTAGATGGCACGAAATATATATATATATTTTTTTTTAACAAAACAGACAAAATATTTAATATTTACGTACAATGAAAATGACGCCGACATATTATTTTAACATATATTTACGAAAAATATTTGAAAATGCCGTTTCCAAACTTTTGGCGGAGTGAAGTGCGTCATGGTTCTTTACTGGCCCTACCACACTGTACATTTGACAAAATCAAAAGCAAACAACGCACATGAGCAAAATTAACAATATAATTTGGCGACAATTTACCCATCGCACCCCATAGTTCGGCTACATTGACGACTCATCGTTTTTCGTTAAAACCTTAATCATAGAAGAAAAAAAGTAATGATTTGAAAGCAGTTCCCTACTTTTAAAACCGAACTTAAAACCGAACTCAGCATCAATAGAAAAAAGATCCATTTTTTTTCTATGCCCTCATTGAGAATAATCATCACCTTAGCAAAAAAAAAAAAACAAAAAAAACGCCACAAGTATTAACTCTTGTCTCTTTAACTATCAAAACGAATTCCCTTAAAAATACAAAATATCATCAGCCATGCTAATTTAATCTCTCTCATTCTCCTTAACAATATGCTATAAAGAATTATTCAGTATTAAACAATTACTGAACAATAATGGCTTTCTTAACCAGATTGTCGATAAGCAAATAAAATTATTTTTACGGACAATAAATCACAGCAGTATATATAATAAACACAATTTTAACCACAAAAATAACATTAATTTGGTTTCAGACATTTAAGTGCCACACATGATACACGCTTCGGCGATCATCTCTCTTTCGATTCATGAATGACTCGTCAAAAGATTTTTTTTCCTGCAGAAGTTTGTCGTTTCTTTCTGCGGTAGATTGGTCACCAACCAAGGCTCAGTCTATCCTGCTATACAGTTCACAGCAGAGGAATTGAGAGATGGATTCATGCCTTTCCCAAGGGTATTTACACATAAGTGAATGTAACGAACCCGACTGGAATTCGAACTCGGCTCTCCATCTCCAATTATTTAAAAAACAGATTATTAACAAATATAGTCCATAGACATAAGTTATGTAAATATTATAAATCACCCAAGATTTAATAAGTGTTATAGAATTATGTTGCACATAAACAGTTTGGAACAAATATGATTGTAAGAAATAAACATAAATACAGTAAATTTAAGAAAAAGACATAAAATAATAATCTCTATCTATAAAAGGCAGAATGTGTGTGTGTGTGTGTGTGTGTAACGAATGCACGGCCGCAATTTTCGACGGATTTGCACCAAAATTTACATACACATGCTCCAAGCTAGTAGAAAGGCCAAGAGCGATTTTGCATTTCCCAACTCCCATCGATAGTGGGAATAATTGATTTTTTCATGCTTCTACGGCAGTTTTCATGTAGTTTGCGGCCATTTTGTACAGGCCAGAGTGAGAGCCTATAGCTGGCTGCCACGAATAGACAGGAAGATTCTATTGATCAGCATGAGAGCCAACAGATGACTGACACGAATGTTAACTAGCATGCTAGCATACAAAAAAAAATCGATAGCTGCATTCGTCACAAGTGGGGAAAATTTAAATATGCATGGCCCTTTACTCCAATTGGCTCATTCGCTTGCTTAAACTCAACGTTTATTCTGATTCCGCAGAACTGGGTTGGGTGTGAAAAAGTATTTGTTGTTAACATTCTTTTTTCATTCGGTTTTTCTAGTTACGAATCCCTTTTTATAGCTGATCCTTTTGTGTTCATTTTGTTTAGTTCTTTTTTTCGTAAGAGATATAATGTTTAGTATAGAGTTTAGAAAAAATTCGCAGTGTGAGATAGGCAAGAAGTAAGGCATGTAGCAACATCAGCACGGCAAAAGGCACTCCTTTAAAGGTAAGGAAGGGCAAAAATATTTTAAGTCAAGTGATAGCGATTGCTGTATGAGTCGTAAGATTTTTGAATCAAGCACAGGCAACGCCGGGCCATGCTGCTAGTAATAAATAAATAGTAAATGAAATTTCGGAGATGAGGCGGAGACATTAGAAGTATAGTCTTGAAGTAAAATTTAAAAGGAACCAGAAACCCAGTCTTAAACATGAAAAGATATAAACCTCCCATCATCATCATCATCATCATCATTATCATCCCCTTGACTTTTGTATTCGAAGAGTTGATCAGAATGCAGAAGCCACACTAACGGTCTATCAACGGCAGCCATCAGCATTTCTGGTGCCGTCATACCTGTCCCTTGTTTAACATTGTCCAACCAATTTTTGCGTTGGCGTCCTCACCTACATCACTTTTCAACGGTGCTTTGCATGATGGTCTTGCATAGGCTGTCATGCCTTGTAACGTGTCTAAATCCCACCATTTTTCTCCGTTTAACAGTGGCGAGAAGAGTTTCCTGGTGGCCCACAGAACTTTCAACTCTTCCGCACCAACTCATTGTTTTTTTGTTCCCACTAGAAAATGCCATTGAGTTTTCTCATGGATTTGTTCTCAAACGCTTGAATCCTTCTCACTATATCTGCCAACAGTGACCACGTTTCACGTCCATATAGGATAATGGCGTTTACCAACGATTTGTACTCCTGCTCAAAAGACCACTTAAATATAATAACCGATAAAATGGCTAGTAAGTGTAACTCGCTAGAACATTTACGACTGAGTAGTGAGTCCGATCCACATCCGGTGTTTCATACTTTCGGCTTTGTATCACATCTAAGGTACGTTTAGTAAATTGTTATTTTTATCAGCTCAGGTTACTTACACATCGTGTAATGGTCTACAGGCTTGTCTCGCAAGATCAATTACGACTGACTATATTTTCGTACTATCATACTGTTAACCTTGTGCCACATCTAAGCTTGGCTAAGTAAATCGCTATTTTTATCCGCTTA